TTTTTTTTTTTTTTTGGGGGGGGGGGGGGGGTTCTCAGTTGTTGATCTACACAACAGGCTTTTCTAGATAATTAACAAGTAATTACCAATTTATACAGCAAACTTCTAATCGAACCAGCGTTGACAAACGACCATTATAACAAAATTAATGTCCAAGAACAACTATCAGACAGAGTTATTAAGATTGTCTTAGGATCGTGCATGCCACCCCTATATTACATTCTAATGCTCTCTCTATTTGGCCACATAGGCGAACAACTTGCGATCTAAATGGTCTGTGCTGTTTGCTTTAGAGTCAGTTCATATTTTGATTTCTTTTCCATTTATAAAATGATTGTTTTATCCTCATTAAAGGATGAACTTGTGCATTAAATATAATTAGGGTGGTAAGGGTTAAACAAAATCAGCAAAGTGAAGGTTACAACAGTCTGGGCGAAAGTCTGTCCGTCCTCGGACCTCGCCAACTAAAAATCAGGAGGGCCGAGATAAATTTCCATAAGTCAGTCCTCATGTCCCAATAAAATTTCAGCCAGTTTGAAACAATTTTTGGCCTTCTAAAATATGCAAAACTTCCAAGATCGATTTTTGTTTTCATTTTTGCTTGTATTCACAGACCCAGATAACCAAAATCACCGCAAGATATAACCAGTTTTTGCTAAGTAAGCCACCATCTTGTCTTGGATAGTTTCCTTACCAAAACATATTTCTTCCCCAATCTTCAAAATTAAACCTTTGAAAGATGTATCGTTTTCTTGTGAATTATGCTAATGTTATATTTTTTATGTTTCTGTATATTTTTTTCATAGTATCTTATAGTTGAGTCTGATAATTCATATTTGCTAAATATTTTTGTTTATAATCTATGGCAATATCCCTCCCCCACCCCTACAAAAAATACCTTCCAAAGTCCGGGCCGGGAAAAATCATCAGCGCCTGAAATAAATCTAAGGATCCCAGTCCTTGTGGCTGAAATTTTTTTTTGACTTTCGCATTGACTGTTACAAGCATGGTTTCTCTTATATCTGATTGTACAATACTACTTGTTATGACATATGAAATGTTCAAAACAGAAAGGAACAGTGTATATATATGTAAGGTAAAAATGTGTTGTGTACTAATACCATCCTCCAACTACTGACTACAATCATGAAATTCTCTTCCTATTCTATCTTTACAATTTTTGCTTTGTTTTCTTTTTACTCCAATTTTAATACATTTTTTAGTCAATCCATCCAACCAGCTTTCCTAGATAACTAACCATTAATTTTCAATTCCTCCGAAAGACAAACAAGATTTCAAAATAAGCAGAGATAAATAAATAATCATTAGACTCCAGGGATTTTTTTTGGCTTATTTTGTAGCCGATATTCGGTCATATTCCCAATTGAAAAATAGTCTATTATTTTCCCAATCCACAGGAGAAAATTCCCAATTTAAAGTTACAAAATAAAACTAGAACTATCACTAAATGTGATTAATACCCCCACAAGTCTGCTTCGGAAATGAGGATGTTACTAGTAACAGAATACCTTGTAAAAGAATTGAAACATAGAGTTATGGTTGTGGGCAATTAAAGATAATTGTTGTTCATATATGTTGCATTTCCTTTGAATGTGGTTGGCCATTGATGAAGTTTAATTGAATTACTCTGTAATAAGTCCAGAAAGACAAAGAAAAAGAACAAAGGGCAATAAGTCTATAAATACTGAAGATAGAGTTATAGTTCTTGTGCACTGCACTTCCTCTTATTGTGCTTGACCATTGTATGAAGTTGTTTTGAATTCCAACCAGTACGTTTTAAGTTATGCTCCGGACAAGGAAAAGTATCAAAGGGCAGTAACTCTGTATTTTGTCAAAATGGAGTTATGGCTCTTGTGCACTGCACTTCCTTTTAATGTCCTTGACAACTGTATGAAGTTGTACTGAATTCCAAACAGTAGTTTTCAAGTTATGCTCTGGACAAGGAAAAGTAACAAAGGGCAATAACTCTGTAATTAGTCAAGATGGAGTTATGGTTCTTGTGCACTGCAATTCCCCTTATTGTGCTTGACCATTGTATGAAGTTGTTTTGAATTCCAACCAGTAGTTTTCAAGTCATGCTGTGGACAAGGAAAAGTAACAAAGGGCAGTAACTCTGTAATAAGTCAAGATGGAGTTATGGTTCATATGCACAGCACTTCCTCTCAATGTGCTTGACCATTGTATGAAGTTATAATGAATTCCAACAATAAGTCTTCAAGTTATGGTCCGGACAAAAGAAAGCAATGGAAAAGAAACAAAGGGCAATAACTCTGTAATTAGTCAAGATGGAGTTATGGTTCTTGTGCACTGCACTTCCCCTTATTGTGCTTGACCATTGTATGAAGTTGTTTTGAATTCCAACCAGTAGTTTTAAAGTTATGCTCTGGACAAGGAAAAGAAACAAAGGGCAGTAACTCTGTAATAAATCAAGATGGAGTTATGGTTCTTGTGCACTGCACTTCCTCTCAATGTGCTGGACCATTGTATGAAGTTATAATGAATTCCAACAATTAGTGTTGAAGTTATGGTCCGGACAAAAGAAAGCAATGGAAAAGTAATAAAGGGCAATAACTCTGTTATTACTTTAGATAGAGTTATGGTTCTTATGCACTGCACTTCCTCTCAATGTGCTTGACCATTGTATGTAGTTATATTGAATTCCAACCATTAGTCTTCAAGTTATGGTCCGGACAAAAAAAGAAGGCAATGGAAAAGCAACAAAGGGCAATAACTCTGTAATTACTTTGGATAGAGTTATGGTTCTTGTGCACTGCACTTCCCCTTATTGTGTTTGACAATTGTATGAAGTTGTTTTGAATTCCAACCAGTAGTTTTCAAGTTATGCCACGGACAAGGAAAAGTAACAAAGGGCAATAACTCTATAATTAGTCAAGATAGAGTTATGTTTCTTACGCACTGCACTTCCTCTCAATGTGCTTGACCATTGTATGTAGTTATATTGAATTCCAACAATTAGTCTTCAAGTTATGCTCCGGACAAGGAAAATGCAACGGACAAAAAAAAAAGCAATGGAAAAGCAACAAAGGGCAATAACTCTGTAATTACTTTAGATAGAGTTATGGTTCTTGTGCACTGCACTTCCCCTTATTGTGTTTGACAATTGTATGAAGTTGTTTTGAATTCCAACCAGTAGTTTTCAAGTTATGCCCCGGACAAGGAAAAGTAACAAAGGGCAATAACTCTGTAATTAGTCAAGATAGAGTTATGGTTCTTGTGCACTGCACTTCCTCTCAATGTGCTTGACCATTGTATGTAGTTATATTGAATTCCAACTATTAGTTTTCAAGTTATGCTCCGGACAAGGAAAATGCAACGGACGTCTGGACCGACCGACCGACCGACCGACCGACCGACCGCCCGACCGACCGACCGACCGACCACCGAGTGACTCCTATATACCCCCCCAAACTTCGTTTTTGGGGGTATAAATATTGAATTACATATTTTAAAATCTTTGAAAATAAGGGTGTCTTTACTGTTATGGTGCTTCAATGTTTGAAGATGCCATCCTAGACATTGATTCTTTGCATTCATTTAATTACTGCAAAAAAATTAAGTCATGCATTTTTCCCAATTTTTAGCAAAACATCGCTGAAATTCCCAATTCCATGGGTATGGGTCATGTTCCCGAAATCCTTGGAAAAAACCCTTGACTCTGACAATGTATTGATCCATTGTCATAGAAAAATATAATCTTGTCAAAGGATTGCACTAGCAACCCTAGGATTACTAGCCTGATGATCTCTCTATTGAGCTAAGTTGGTGGATTTGACAAGGATTGGTATCTATAATCAATTAAACAGCACTTGTATTGTTGTATTTGGAAGATGGTAACAAAGAAAGTAAAAGGAAATAAGACACTTACTGTAGCCTTGTTGACCTGCCATATCTGCAGAACTGCCTGATGCACCTTGCATTACATTTTGAACATTTGCCATCCATTCTTGTGAGCTCATTTGCTCTTGTGTTAAAGTATTTTGACCTAACTCCACACCCGTAATTTCTAAATCCATTTCTGAATCACCAACTGCTTCAAGTTTTACACTAATATTCGGGTCTAATCCTTCCATTGTTCCTTGTTCATTTCCTTGTGAAGTTGAAGGTTCATTCACAGAACTATCTGTTGGTAATATGTTTGAGAGATCTGAATCTAAACTAAGACCCGCAGCTGGGTTAGTGTCACTAAATTTGAGATCTGATGCTTCATTTGGAATGGTTGATGACGATGATTCTGACCGAGCATCTTCATTATCTGATGCTGAAGGTCCTTGTGTTTGAGAGGGTGTGGATGGTTTGATAGATGGAGAGGATGGTTGACTAGATTCAGATATGTTAGTTTTTACATCACTTTGAACATTTGTAGTTTCATTTGCACTTTGATTGGACTTTACATCTTCATCTTCTGGTTCTATTTTAATGACTTGTCCATCAAGTTTAGTGTTACGTACTGGAGTTACCATAGGACCAGGCCCCTGCACAGGTGAACGACCTTGCTGATCAAAACTTAATGTTGGTCGCAGAGGACGGGCCATTGGATAAGGCTGATGCCTGTTACCAGATATCACTACTCTGCCACGGGATGCCACTCTACTCATAGATACAGGATGAGGTCCTTGTTGCCGTGGTGACTGAAATCTTGGTGAGCGTTGAGACATGAATCCCATTCTGTTACCCATACCGTCATATCTAGGTGGGGTAACTGCCTGCATATTTCTAGCCAGAGCTTCTTCTCTCTCCTGAGCTTCTTTTCTTTCCTGTTCTTGTTTCTTTTTATGATGTCCTTAAAAATATAAAAACAGTCAGATAATTAAAGATCTTGACAGTTTGAACAGAGTAGACTTTAAAAGACCTCCCGAGTTGTTCGACATGATGGATCTGGGAATACTTTTTCAAGATTTGTATGCTTATTGATGTAGGACCGAACATATAACTTGGGTGCATAATTTCAAACAATTTGCTCATTCAGTATTTTCAGAATAATTGTTACTGTGCAAAATGACCCAAAAATGAAGTGTTTAAACAATTTGCACTCAAATTTAAGTGAGAATTGCACAAAAACCCATTTCATATAGTTTTGAGTATAATTCTTCATCATCTTAGGCATATTATTAGGTTGTATTTGCCCTACTTAATCTATGTACGAAATAGTTTTTTACATTATTAGGCTTTTGGACCACAGTAAAGCTCCTCTAAAAGATGGTTTTTACCTACAATTTGATATACATTGTAATTTATTTCAGAATAACTCCAGAAATCTGGACTAATAATGACCTTGTGGTGTTAAGTCTATTTGGCATATTCAACCCTAGGTCTATATAACACATTACCTTAATGCAGAAACGAGTTAAGTCCTTCTATCTTTAATAGGAGTTAACTAGTTATTGCACTAAGAAAGTAAGTTTTGTTGGTTTTTTAAACTGTTTTTAAACTATCCTAACAATGTGCCAGTTCCCTTTGATCCCAAGACTTTTAGTACTTACAAATATAATAAAGTTCAAGTTCTAGCTAATATTTTGAGGAAAGTATTAACATTCAACCACAGTGGCACTATTTATTTCAGACAACAGATTTTTTCTAAATACGTTTTAACATGGTTCATACCAAATTCTCAAATCAAAATTCAAGAACTTGTCAAGGACTTTTCAAGGTAAAATTGTCATTTTCAAGGCATTTTTTTCCCGATTGATCTTATTTAAAATTATACTTTTACAACTATATCTGTGATATACATTTTTATTGCAATTGATCTTATTTAAAATTATACTTTTACAACCATATCTGTGATATAAAACATGTAAATAAAACATGTGTATTTCAATTTAAGGTTCAAATGACTAGAATTGCAAAACAGTGACTATATTTAGAAAATCAGCACAGTCAGTAGAATATATGAACACCAAAACTGTAACATATAGGTGATTGAGTAAATTTACACAACTCTATCTAGTTTTTCCTTTCTTTTTTGGATTTCTCTTCCAATTTCCTCAACTTCCAGTTTCTTTTCTTTGAAGCCCTTTCTTAGAATGTTTGATTCAGTCACAAATGTTATTTTTCCAGTTTTCTCAGCCTTTTCCAAGTTTTTCAGATTTTTCTTCTAGAATGGTGATATCAGTTTGAAGTCTTGCCTTCTTTTTCTTGAGATCTTCAATAGCATCAAGGTCAGACTTCCTCTTCAATTGCCTCTCAGCTGCCATCTTCTCTTCTCTTTGTTTATCTAAATACAGCTTGTATTTAGATGATGCAGCAGAGACTGATGCCATTAGCTGCTGAGTTAATGGCACTTCCAGGACACCACCAACATGTCATGCACAGTTTCCGTTGTGGATTGGGATGGCACAATGTTATTATTTGAATCAGATCTACTGCAATTTTCAGTTTTGCCATTTATAGTTCCTTCCTGTCTGACAAATGCAAGGCCACACTTCGTCAATGACGACTTGATGTCTAGATTTTTTAGGTGCTTTGCATCGCATGCGATGTTAATGCACTCTCTCCCATTTGCGACAAATCGATGGTTTTCATACACATGGTACATTGTGCTTTTCGTGGGTCTTGTATAACTTGTTTTACCCAACTGTATTGTTGAAGCCATTTGAGCTGAAACGTACATTTCTTAGTGTATTTTCCCATTTTTTACTTCGCAATGGAAGCTGACATTTTGTACACAATTTGCGATGACGTCATACACAAGTGCTTGTTAAAATCCGTGCCAAAACCGTAACGCTGGCTAAACACTACTAAAACAGATCCAAATGGGCGCACTCGATCGGGCTGCCTTCAATCACATGTCCGATTTGTAGCGGAAAATTTGCCTGACCTTTACAGCGACAGGTTTTATACCCTTTTGGATTTTCAAGGCATTTTACCGAAATTCAAGGGGGTTTACTGAAATTCAAGGACAATTTTAGTGTTTTTTCAAGGCAACCCTGAATTCAAGGACTTTTCAAGGTTGAAACCAAATTCAAGGACTTTTCAAGGCCCGTGCGAACCATGTTTAATGGTATTTCTAATACAAACTTTTCTTTTGTAACAGTAAGGAGCTTACTTTTTCCATTATATGCAGGTTTTATACAAGTTGCTTTGTTGTAATTCTAGTACAATTGTGTATCCAGTGACTTTTTTCTCACTTAATTGTGAAGATGCCCTGTTATTGTGAAGAAATTATTCCTAAAATTGCTAATTTGGGAAGTAAGAAAGCTGGTGTAAGTACAGATTTAAAATTGCCCAGTTGCTAGAGCCCTGTGTTACAGCATGAAAAGTTACATAATGCAGAAAAAAGTGAATTGACTTGATTGTTAAAATATAACTTTAACAACAAAATTTGCAATCTAAAGAATATCATATATTCCACTTACTTTTAAGACAGAAGCCAAGGAACTGAGATTTGATATCCTCGTGATCCTCCAGGAAAACTTTACCCGAGTCTGAACCGAGGTGACACAGTGTTCCATCTGCTACACTTGCTGTTAGGATAACTGATTCTTCCTCAGTCGTACTAGCCAACTGTTCTACCTGAAAATGTGAAAATATAACATTTCATACTAGCCAACTGTTCTACCTGAAAAATGTGAAAATATAACATTTCATACTGGCCAACTGTTCTACCTGAAAAATGTGAAAATATATCATTTCATACTGGCCAACTGTTCTACCTGAAAATGGGAAAATATATCATTTTATACTAGTGTTCTACCTGAAAATGTGAAAATATAACGATTCATACTGGCCAACTGTTCTACCTGAAAATATAACATTTCATACTAGCCAACTGTTCTATCTGAAAATGTAAAAATATAACATTTCATACTAGCCAACTTTCCTACCTGAAAAATGTGAAAATGTAACATTTCATACTAGCCAACTGTTCTACCTGAAAATGTGAAAATATAACGATTCATACTGGCCAACTGTTCTACCTGAAAATGTGAAAATATAACGATTCATACTGGCCAACTGTTCTACCTGAAAATGTGAAAATATATCATTTCATACTAGCTAACTGTTCTACCTGAAAATGTGAAATATATCATTTCATACTAGCTAACTGTTCTACCTGAAAATGTGAAAATATAACGATTCATACTGGCCAACTGTTCTACCTGAAAATGTGAAAATATATCATTTCATACTAGCTAACTGTTCTACCTGAAAATGTGAAAATATAACATTTCATACTGGCCAACTGTTCTACCTGAAAATGTGAAAATATATCATTTCATACTAGCCAACTGTTCTACCTGAAAAATGTGAAAATGTAACATTTCATACTGGCCAACTGTTCTACCTGAAAAATGTGAAAATATAACATTGCATACTAGCCAACTGTTCTACCTGAAAAATGTGAAAATATAACATTTCATACTGGCCAACTGTTCTACCTGAAAAATGTGAAAATATAACATTTCATACTGGCCAACTGTTCTACCTGAAAATGTGAAATATATCATTTCATACTAGCTAACTGTTCTACCTAAAAATGTGAAAATATAACGATTCATACTGGCCAACTGTTCTACCTGAAAATGTGAAAATATATCATTTCATACTAGCTAACTTTTCTACCTGAAAATGTTAAAATATAACGATTCATACTAGCTAACTGTTCTACCTGAAAATGTGAAAATATAACATTTCATACTAGCCAACTGTTCTACCTGAAAAATGTGAAAATGTAACATTTCATACTGGCCAACTGTTCTACCTGAAAAATGTGAAAATATAACATTGCATACTAGCCAACTGTTCTACCTGAAAAATGTGAAAATATATCATTTCATACTAGCTAACTTTTCTACCTGAAAATGTTAAAATATAACGATTCATACTAGCTAACTGTTCTACCTGAAAATGTGAAAATATAACGATTCATACTGGCCAACTGTTCTACCTGAAAATGTGAAAATATAACATTTCATACTAGCCAACTTTCCTACCTGAAAAATGTGAAAATGTAACATTTCATACTAGCCAACTGTTCTACCTGAAAATGTGAAAATATAACGATTCATACTGGCCAACTGTTCTACCTGAAAATGTGAAAATATAACGATTCATACTGGCCAACTGTTCTACCTGAAAATGTGAAAATATATCATTTCATACTAGCTAACTGTTCTACCTGAAAATGTGAAATATATCATTTCATACTAGCTAACTGTTCTACCTGAAAATGTGAAAATATAACGATTCATACTGGCCAACTGTTCTACCTGAAAATGTGAAAATATATCATTTCATACTAGCTAACTGTTCTACCTGAAAATGTGAAAATATAACATTTCATACTGGCCAACTGTTCTACCTGAAAATGTGAAAATATATCATTTCATACTAGCCAACTGTTCTACCTGAAAAATGTGAAAAATGTAACATTTCATACTGGCCAACTGTTTCTACCTGAAAAATGTGAAAATATAACATTGCATTACTAGCCAACTGTTCTACCTGAAAATGTGAAAATATAACATTTCATACTGGCCAACTGTTCTACCTGAAAAATGTGAAAATATAACATTTCATACTGGCCAACTGTTCTACCTGAAAATGTGAAATATATCATTTCATACTAGCTAACTGTTCTACCTAAAAATGTGAAAATAAACAGATTCATACTGGCCAACTGTTCTACCTGAAAATGTGAAAATATATCATTTCATACTAGCTAACTTTTCTACCTGAAAATGTTAAAATATAACGATTCATACTAGCTAACTGTTCTACCTGAAAATGTGAAAATATAACATTTCATACTGGCCAACTGTTCTACCTGAAAATGTGAAAATATATCATTTCATACTAGCCAACTGTTCTACCTGAAAAATGTGAAAATGTAACATTTCATACTGGCCAACTGTTCTACCTGAAAAATGTGAAAATATAACATTGCATACTAGCCAACTGTTCTACCTGAAAAATGTGAAAATATAACATTTCATACTGGCCAACTGTTCTACCTGAAAAATGTGAAAATATATCATTTCATACTAGCTAACTTTTCTACCTGAAAATGTTAAAATATAACGATTCATACTAGCTAACTGTTCTACCTGAAAATGTGAAAATATAACATTTCATACTGGCCAACTGTTCTACCTGAAAATGTGAAATATATCATTTCATACTGGCCAACTGTTCTACCTGAAAAATGTGAAAATATATCATTTCATACTAGCTAACTTTTCTACCTGAAAATGTGAAAATATAACGATTCATACTGGCCAACTGTTCTACCTGAAAATGTGAAAATATAACGATTCATACTAGCTAACTGTTCTACCTGAAAATGTGAAAATATATCATTTCATACTAGCTAACTTTTCTACCTGAAAATGTTAAAATATAACGATTCATACTGGCCAACTGTTCTACCTGAAAATGTGAAAATATAACGATTCATACTAGCTAACTGTTCTACCTGAAAATGTGAAAATATAACATTTCATACTGGCCAACTGTCTCGATAATGGAACACATTATGTGACATAAGTGCAAAACAAAGACATGCAAGATTTATTATAATTTTTTTTTCATCTTAAATTCAAATTTGAATTAGCTGCATGGCTGAGTGGTGAACGCGTCGGGCTATTAATCTAAGGATTGCTGATCGTGTGGGTTCAAACCCTGTCAGGTGGCTGGGCAAGCCGTTGTTTCCTTGAGCAAGAAACTTTACATTTATAGCTTAGTACTGGTTGGTTCCGGGAACAGATTCAAGAGTGTTTCAATAAGCTACTAGCTTCGAACACAATCAAACTAAAATAAATGTATAAACTAAAAATTCAAATTGACTTTCCATTTTGTCCATCATTAAATCTGGACAAATTCATCATTTTAGGAAAAATTTCAACAATTGCACTGAATGAACAGCAAACATTGCAGACACAGTGCTGGCTGATTATTGTTTGCATTTGTCATGTTAAAAATAAATTCATTACAATAAATAGGTTTATCATGTTTGTGATTTTATGCCATCTCAACACAGTTTTCGTTAATACCTCTGTTATTATCTCCACTTGACTGGCTATCCTGGATAAGTTACCAGTAATGATTACCAATATCTCCACAAGTTATTGACTACTAACCCCACATGAACTTTTTTTGAATCAGAGGTGAGAGACAAATGACCATTAGACTCATTGTCTCAGTGAGAAGAAATTTGTCAAAATTTTATTAAAAATTTACCAGTTGTTGTATCTGGCTCTTGATTATAGCCTTCAGTATGACCTTGTAGCCAGGTATATCTTTAATGACTTCCATGTCCGGTGTTGCCATGGTAACAGTATATCTAAGTTAACTTCAGTCTTCAATACAACAATTGTTCAGCTATCAATCGACAATGTTCAAGACTTCAGTGAATGAACAACTCTGAAAAGTAAAATAATATTATAATAATTTATAGACCCTTTCATTTAGGACCGTATTCAAGTTGTCGCCCTTGGATGACGTCATTGGGGGATACGGTGGACAATGCCGATACGATTAAGTACAGTAATAGAGGGATATAAAGATCTTAATCCTTTCTCTTTTAAGATTGGCAGAGTGAAATTGGCAAAATTTTGTGTAATTTGATAAGATAAATAAAAGGATGGTGAAATGAATTTATTGTTTACTATATAATTTGGTTAACGATTTGATTTAATAGTAGACCATATTCCTGGGTAACTGATCATGATAATCATTTGCGTTAGATTCTTAAAAATGAAAATTTTACCAGGCAGTTAAATCGTACGATAATGTATCTATGTCTCTGCTAATATACAATACCCAAAAGATATTTTGAGTTTCAAAATGTAAGGATTCTGTAGTTTCGAAAAACGGCTGCGTAATAATTAATTGAAAGATACTGGTTTATTAAAAATCATTTTGATTTAAGCATTACTAAGACAAAGAAAAGAAAACAATATAAATCTATGTAATTTCAAAAAAAAATGTAAAGGCATAAAAAGTAAAAATTGTTTTGAATGTACATGACTGTATACTATTTGTGTCGGCAAAAAATGCACTCTCAAAAAATCGTACATCACACAAATATATTTCAGCTGGTAAAGCACAGATATATAAACATATATTTAACTCCATGGGTAAAGTAATATTTTCAACTTGATACTTTTCAGTGATTAATCTAGATGTGCGTCTTGCGTAAAATACGCATGAAAATCGAAAAAGACGCAGTTTCAAAATATGTGCGTTCAATTTGACGCATGCAAATCAGGTCGTTTATAATCCAAAATATCACGATTAGTGATTTCTATGTACTGTTTGATTACTTTAATTTCATCAGTTGAATAATTTTTCAATTTCTTCAGTTGAATAATTTAATTTCCGATGATTACTTGTGCAAGACTTATCCCCCATTTGCTTGAAACGTTAAATCCCTGTGATCGGTAACCGCCCATTATCGGCATTAGCCAATCAGAGCGTCCATTTTGCATGAGAGCGAATCGCCTACAATGGTGAAATATGCAGAGATCTGCCTGCACCATTGGCGCTAAAAAATGAGAATGGCACAGGAAAATCGTCAGCAAAGGGCCAAGGGTGCATCTAAAATCTGTACCAGACTTATATTGTATGTTATTTAGTCATCCAGACAAAACTGGTACCAACAGCAACAGGTTACCCATTCCCCTGTAATTACGCATATTCTTGAGTCTATCCATTTCCCTATAGCATTTTTCCAAGTTATCTACTTACCTTATCCCTTTCCCACACAGATAAGCATTTCTACTGCCGTAAATTTAATCCAATAAAGCAAACAAAATATCATTAATCTACTTAATATTTTAAATAAATATTGGTAACTGAAAAAAAAAAGTGTGTTGCTATTTTAAGAAATGCTGTACTGGGGTCCTACATATTACCGGACAAAATATGAAGTTTTTTATCTGTAACTTTTATTTTAAATAATAAAAAAGAATGGAATTTTACCCAAATAATTTTGGGTTCTTAATGCACGTAAACATTCCTTTATCAAAAATAAAATTAAACATTTGACTGTAGAAATGTGTCTTTAAAGTAGGGCATTATAAGAAGAAAAAAATCATGTAAACAACTCAATTTACCGGACATTGTTTTTTTCTTTTTTTTTAAAGTTGTGAATTGAAATTAATCTTTAAATAACCAGCAAGGAAACTACCACTATTGAATGACAATGTTCAGATATTTGAAAAGCCCTGTATGTCACTAGAAACAGACACGGCAGCCATACCTGTTATGAAGAGGCCAATATATAGGGTGTAAATGAAATTAACACTATTAACTCAATTAACGTATTGATCCTTCATGATTCTTAAACCTATGAATCATTTTAATATTCAAATGGAATTCTGTTCTTCTGTTCTTTGTCATACAGTTTCCTTTTGGTCATCGTGTAGCATGTTACGAATGCCATAAAATCAATTTCATTTACATTTCATGTAGAATTTCCTCCAATGGGCGTAACCCGTTTCCTTAAATGTTTTTTAATTTACACTTCTTTGAAAAAGACAACAACGAGATACTGTTTAGACTAAATTTAAAATTTACTTTTATCATTTAAATATGTTACAATCGTCTCTTGAGGTAACGATGAGAAGAATTAAAAGTAAAAACCGATCTAAAATAACCCATTAAGGGTCTCCATATTCGGGCCTTAGTCACAGAACAGATTATTCCCCCGCATGACCAGGTCATGAAATAACTAGTAAACAAAAGGGCATGTTAGTAGATAAAGAATTGAATCAACCATATTTACATGAGAGTGGTTTTGTTGTTATTTACTTTGAAATAGAAAGTGTGTATACAATTCAGAATGTATGATTATTTAATCGAAGCTAAATTAAAGCAATATTCAGCAGTAATAGCTTTTGTCCGGTAAACTGATTGTCCGGTAAATATGTAGGACCCCAGTAAGTTACAGTATAATCTGACAGGTGTGTAAATTGAATTCCCCTAAGGTCACTCAAGTTCACGCGGAGTGTAAAAATAAGAGATGTCTATTACGTCATCAGAATATTTGACAGGTTGATTATAAACCAATCAGGGAAACATTGTGCATGACTTTTTTTCATGATCAAAAGGTCTGTCTGTGTATGCTTTCTACACAGAGGCATACAAGGAGCAATAAAAGTCGTCAGTATGTATACAGTGTGATAGGGACATTTTGTGCAAATTACGAACAATTAAAATGGATAATGCACAGTATTAGACATAAGTAGTAAGAACATATAAATTATGCAAATTAGATTTTTGAGCAGCCAATGAAAATTGTTTTGCCTGCAATTAATATTAGTACCAAAAAAGAACTTTCTTATACACTTTAATAATTTAATCGCTTGTTATAAAAACATGCAAATCATGTCAAGGATCTGCTATTAAAAAAAAAATTCTGCTAAGACGCATTTATTTTGCTACATGACTCATTGATTTTGCTAAAGGACTCATTGTTTTCAAACATGTGCGTCATCCGACGCATTATAAAGAATTTCTAGATTAATCACTGACTTTTTAATTCATACTCTGCTTATCAAATATTTAAAAAATCACAAAAAAAAACAACAAAAACAAGTTGTGAAACACGTTCACATAAATTTGTTATTAGCTGAATTATAATTTTACGTATTTTTGACTGTGCCAGTTGGAAGGACTCTGGATCGAGTATCAAATCAGTAAGGCATGACCAATAAAGGCCCTAGGATGATCCATAACAAAATTCGGACCATAAATATTTTGACAACTAACAAAAGTGACGTAATCTGATGTAATGTTATAACTCTAAAAATGCACCCTGGTGATTTATGATATCAGTCAAAAACATGTTCTGTACAGTGTCTTGTTCACTGCATAATTTTTTCCAGACAATATTTTTTGTCACCATTGCTATGAAATAATTCCACTATATAACAAAAGCATAAAATTAGATATAAGTAACTGCTTCTGTATATATTTTGTGTGAATTTTATATAATTTCTAGACATTTAATTTATAAAATAAAAGTATCGATTTTTTAAAATGTTTATCGATTATTGATCGGCAAAAAAATATCAACGATACATCGATATTGTCGATATCGATGACAGCTCTATGGTTATAATCATAATTGAACAATCAGTAATTACGCATTTAACTTTTTCAATAAGCTAACTTTCTATGCGACATGCATAGTTTTATCCCCCATTTACGTCACATCCGGTAAGGGAAGTAACTCTTCACTGACTGTTATCGCTTAAATGAAAGGGTCTATATACATTGAATGATTGGCAGCATGGCGAAGTACAGTAGAACTTCTATGAGTGACAGTCTCTCTTCTTTAATTTACTCATCAGACTAATCTAAGGATTACTGGCCACAAACAGGGCATTTTTTGTCAAAATTGCGAAGGGGCCTGGACCTGTTCATTTTGTGAAAAAAATCACGATTTGTTATAAAATTGTGAAAAAAAAATTACATAGTATTAGGCATTTAGCAACATTATGAAACCAGAAAATCTGCTTCAAGTCGATACTTTAACCTGCTTCACATATGCTAAAACCATTTAACTTGATTAAAACTATAACTGTGTTTTTGAGATTGGCGTATATCATGTTTTACCGGAAGGTTATCAATGTATTTCAAAGACAAAGTCCCATTATTTTGTGAAATTTCTTTTGAAATTGTGATTATTTTTCCGCCACTTTGTGAAAAAAAAGTGCAATTTTGAATTGAAATTCTCGATAACAAAACTGACAAAGTTGCTGGAGTTCATGAAGCACATGGGCTCTGTTTCCTTAACCGTCTGCACACCTGTAGGGTCAATCTCATAATCACGTGTCCAAGTGCTGAATTTTTTTACCTGTCTTTAATTATTATGTAGTTTATGTTCCTAATAAATTGTTTATGTCAATCCTTGGCTTATCAACAGATTATACATAGTTATATCAAGGTATCATGCTTCACTTTACTTCATCAGTTCATGGCATGCTTGATGAATGAATACAGGCATGTTAGATTCCTTGCACTATTATTGGTGGACTTTCCAATTGGGTCTGTCTTCAGCGTTCATGTCATGTCATAGTATATAAACAAGTATGCTGAAGAACTTAAACTAGTTGGGTTATTCCTATAACAGGACAATTGCTTAAGAATAATCGTTGGGGTGTTCCAAGTGAAACCTGAAGCAGTGCATGAAATACTGAAGGACACCTTTAAAACAAACAAGATTGCATTTGAGAAAAATGCTATGCCACCGCATTATAAGCTCTATGCCTTGTACCTTCAGACAAAAATATTTTTTATCTTTTACTATATGTACATAATGAACATCAATGACCCCCGGGCAATAATTTGAACAATCTTGGTAAAGATTCACTTTGCAAAGTCTCATGCCATATATTTAACCTCTAGTCTTTGTC